GGCGCCGCGCGAAAGCGGGGTGCCCCTGGCGCGGCGCTGAATCATCGCGCTACCAGACACACAGGGTTATTGCGCAGGGATTCGCCCGGTGAGCCAACCGCCGGCGTGCGCGCGCCGCTCCGACCGGGGATCGTCCGGGGCTGCAGACTTTCTCTGCCTCCCCTCCCCCCCGGGCCACGGCGGCCTCCCTCCCGTGTTCGGCGCCCGCCGGGGTTCTCTCTCTCTCTCTCTCTCTCTCTCTCTCTCTCTCTCTCGCGCGCCTGCCCTTGCCCTCTCGCGCGGGGCCGCCGTATTAACCATGCATCTGCGGGGTGCCCGGGACGTGCGCCTCCCGGGCGGCGGCGGCGGCGGCGGCCAGGAATGCCTAGCGGCGTGGGTCGCGTCCGCGCCCACGCGCGTGCACACGCGGCCCTGGCCTCACGGGGGTCCTGAGAAAATGGGCTTTGCCGCGGGCGCGTGCGCGCGCAGGCGACCGCCCGTGTCATCTCACCTTGTCCGGTGCGCAGACACATGCACACATGCGTACTTCATACGCGCACGCCTACACGCACATCCTCACCGCGTGGGCCGCTCTCGCCGCCGGCACCAGGCCGGTGGGCCGGCGCTCTGGTGTGTCTTCGGGGCCCTGCGGCCGAGAGCGCTGGCCCCGGCACGCGGCGTGGCCCCGCATGCGGCCCTCGCACGCACACAGCACCGGCCCACCGGCAGCCGGCCCTCCCCCCCCCCGCAAGGCGGCGGAGAGGACCCCTCGTCCAGGGCAATAATCTCACGCGCGACGGCAAATCCTCCTCGCACTATACGCCGCCTCCCAGGAGGGGTGGGGGGGGAGGTATCATCTCGCGCGGTGGCGTGTGGCCGGCGCGCCGTGGCCGGCCCCTCCCCTCACCAGGCACCTGAGGGCAGTAAGGCCCGCGCCCCCCCCCCCCCCCCCCCCCCCCCCCACGCAGGGGGAATGGGCATGACACCTGGGCATCCCTCGTCAGCTCGCTCTTCGCGTTTCCCCCCCCCCTGGGGGAAGGAGGGGGAGAGGGGCGCGGGAGGGGCTGAGGCCCGGCCACGGAGCAGTGGCCGGCAAGGCCCCGCCTGGACACAGGCACACAAACAAGCGCCCGCGCGCCGGGGCGCCAATGGTCCCCC